TTGTAGGTGGGTTTCGCTTCTTGTTGCTCATAAGAGTCCGATAATGAATTTATCCAGCACTGACCCTTCTTGTGATTGCCGTTTGTAATTGCATGTTTCAAGCTCTGTGTTGTATTGTTGATAGGTGTGCTTACATACTTGTGGTAAATAGATATTTGGCTAGTTGCATCGGTTGCATTCTCGTCCATAACATTAAATGCATTCTTCTTTTTGCTTAACACATCCATACTCTGTATCTTGATAGCATCCCATGCAAGCTCTGAGTAATACTGTTCAAGTGCCTGACATTCCCTGTTAAATTCTTTATCTGTTCTTAAAAACCCCATTATTTTTCTGAATTCTGGATTATATACATCTGACCGATCTCTTATGTTCATTATTGAGCTTCCGTCATATTTGTCGTTAATTCTTCAAACCCGGGTTCGTCCCTGTATAGTTTTTGAAAACAATTCGCTTAATCCATTCATTATTAAACGGCTTTGTTGTTTTAGTTGTTGTTTGTTCTATGTAATATTTTCTGCCGTTTTTGGTAAAGGCTGGCTTGAGGTTTGCATTTTTTGGTTTTCGTGTAGTATAAAGTTGAAAATTCATTAAACAAGTATTTGAGTTTTTTGTCTCTTGTATTCTTTCGCCGGTTTAGCCTGTTTCCATCCACTTAGATTATCGTTGTATTTCTTACGTGCTTTGTTATGCCAAGCCTTATTTTGGGATGTTAATCCCTTGATTAGGTTTTCAGCTGTGGCTACATTGCCTATTTTTCTCTGTTCGTAAAACTTTACAATCTGGTTTAGTTTGTTGTTTGTTGTCTGGTTGGCATCTGTAGCGAGTTCTCGCTTCAGTTGCTTTAGTTGTCTAACATTCCCCTGTATAAACTTGCTCATAACTGAACTTAGATTATATATTAAAATATGAAATATTTCTTTAAAACCTTTTTTAAAGATTTTTTATAATAATAATTTCTTAATTTTTTTTGCAGAATTTTGGTATGAGAATTTGAACAAACAATTTAATAGAGGGTGGCTTATTAAGATTTAGTTTAGCACATTCGTTAAGTATTTTTCTTCTGTTGCTGCACTGTCTCTTGTATGCTTATTACAAGAGTTGTAATATTCAATAACTTCTAACAATATTCGTTTATTGTTTCTTTTTCTTTTGTAGTCCCAAAATTATCATGAATAATTTTGTCACAAAGATTTGTGATTTTATGAATAGGATAGAAGACTAGAGTTCCAAAATTTCAACTTTTTTCTCTTGCAAAACATAAGCTCTAACATTTCCTTTTTTAGTGGATGGTTTGACCTTTTGATAACATTCTGAAAATCTTGTATGGTATTACATTCATAAACTTCTGCTTCTGAACATTCTTTTAATCTACTTAATTTTCTTTGTATTCCATAATATGGGTCGTCGTTGTTCTTTTTAACATCGTTAAAAACCGTCTGTTTAAGTGTATATGACATGTGCATTGTCTGCATTTAACTTATTCGCTTATCATATTACGAATATCATCGGGTAACAGTTTATTGAATGTGTTATGCTGTTCTTTGATTTCTTCACACTTCCATCAATATGATAACTTGAACATCACCTATATATATATATACTGTATAGAATATTTCTTTAAAACATTTTTCATGTTTTTTAGAACAAAAAATTCTTAATGTTTTTTGAGTTTTAAAAGTTCAACCCTCAAACACGGGCGCTTCTCTCCTTTTTGAAATGAAACATTGTTTGGTTTACCTTTTTCTCACTCCTTTCAACTTCGTGCTCTTCCTTACCCCACACACTCACTCCTTCCTTTTCTCCTGCTTTTCTTTTCCTGTGTGTCTTAACATTCAATAGGTGGGTGTTTTCTTGTTCTTGATGCTCGTTGTTCCATGTTCTGGCTTGCCTTCAATTCGTTCGTTGCGCGACTAGTGGCTTTGTTTGGTCAGTCCGGTCGCCCAAATATTTCCACAGCCACTCAATCCGTTCAGGCAGACTGCCCAGGTTCGGCAGTGCCAGCAGTCCGGCAATCCGTTCAATCCGGGTCGGTCCGATCACCCGTTCAGGTCGGTCCGATCACCCGTTCAGGTCGGTCCGGTCACCCGGTCAGTTCGTCCATTCAGACCGAGAAGTCGACCAGGCCCGTTGACCGGGTTCGGTCGGCCCGGTTCAGGTCGGTCCGATCACCCGTTCAGGTCGGTCCGATCACCCAGTCAGGTCGGTCCGTTCACCCGGTCAGATCAGTCCGGTCGCCCGGTCAGGTCAGTCCGGTCGCCCGGTCAGGTCAGTCCGGTCGGCCGGTCCGTTAGTCCGTTCGCCCGGTCAGTTCGTCCGATCGCCCGTTCAGGTCCGTTCGGTGGGCCGGTCCGTTCGTCCGTTCGCCAGTTCAAGTCCGTCCGTTCGCCCGGTCAGTTCGTCCGTTCGCGCGGTCAGTTCGTCCGATCGCCCGTTCAGGTCAGTCCGGTCGGCCGGTCCCGTTCGTCCGGTCACACGGTCGGTCCGGTTGGCCGGTCAGGTTTTTTTTCTTCTGGCCTGACCGGGTGACCGGACTGAACGGAGAACCGGGCTGACCGGGTGACCGGGCTGAACGGGCGACCGGGCGAACGGGGGGGGCCTGGTCATGGTCCGTGGCAGGCCTCAGGAGCAGGGACTACCCAGAAGGATTTCAAGTCGTGTCCGAGAGGCAAGCCAACGCCATGGCGCAGAGATCAATCAAGGGTCTGCTGGAGCCCCGCCGGTGTGGAAGGTTTGCTTCTGGAGCATGTCTATGATTCGTTCATCTGTCGTTGCCAGAGATGAAGGCCTTTTACGGAGGAAACTGGCTTTGGTCAACTTTTGCCTTGTGCTGTCACGGAGCTGAGCGTGAAAAGTGGCTCACGGTGGTCCACAACTCTCCAGCACTCCGCTCCGGTGCTGCACAAACCTCAGCGTGAAGGCCATACCGAGCCCACTGTCGGACTGACTACATCGACCCGGAGAACAATGATGAATACCCCTGGGCTTTATGCTTCGTTTCAAGCCGACGACCTTGGAGCACCAGCTCAAGGGTGCGACCAGGGGACTTCATGACGGAGCCGTCGTGGACTGGGCTGTCACTCAGACTGTGAAGTTTTTGGACAGCATGGACGGTAATGGGGCCAAGCATTTGGCGTGGCTTCTTTGGCCACACGGGCTGCGATGTGCGTCTCACTGACAGGGGCAGGATGTCGTGGGAAGCAGACCTGGTCCTTATCCCGCTTTCAGCTTGTGGCGGGACGTGCTTTCATATAGATGCATGCAACCTCAGCATATCAATGTCTTGGAACTCACTGCGTTCCTTTGTGAGTCGACGCGGCGCTCCAGGGACCAGCAGCAGCACGGCAAGAGGTTCTGTTGCATCGTGGATTCCCTCGTGACATTCTATGTCTTGGGGAAGGGAAGGAGTTCATCCCAACGGTTGAACCACACATGCCGACGAGTGACTGCAACGACCCTGGCTTCGGGCGTGATACCGGTATCCCTCTGGACGATCAGCAAATTGAATTTTTTTGATGGTGCGTCACAGAGATTTGAGCCAACGGCGTGACCACCTCACGTTGCTCGGTATCACTGCGAAGACAAGGCGTTCCTTTGAGCAGTCAATACAGGCATTTTTCAGTTATGTGTGTGCCCTAAAGGCCAGGTTGCCGCGAAATGCGGTTGAGCTGGATGATGAGCTGGCTGGGTACATTAATCACTCTTACCAGGAAGGTGAGAATGTATCCATGGCAGGCTGGATCGTGAGTGGGCTGAAACGATTCTTGCCCAGGTGCAAACCGCACCTCCAAACAGCCAGGCTCTTCCTTCGGAGCTGGCGTCGGGTTTACTTACCCCAGCGCACGAGCCCACTGCCGTGGCTGGGCGCCAAATCTATGGCAGCTGCTAGCTGCAGCCCGAATTGGTCGGTATGATTTGGCGTTGCTGTTTTATATCGGCTTTGCCTTCTTCCTCCGTACAATGGAGCTGCTTCCGGAGGGCTCACCTTCGCCTGTTCCCGGAGGATGGCATTGTCGTGGTTGCAATCCTTAATGCCAAGACTTCGAAAGGCCTGCAATCTCTCTTTCTTTGCACGAGCCAGCTCTGGTGTCAATTCTTCAATGTTCGTGAACGCTCGAGTGGTTACCTTTATTCGTCTTCGCCTGCTCTTGTTCGGAGAAAATTCGCTTCCCTCGTCAAGGCTATAGGGCTGCCTCCTTCTGCTGACTACGTGCCCTATTGTCTTAGAACGGGCGCGGCAACAACTTTTTATCAAAGGTTCGGGCTGGGGCGTACGGTCATGCAGGGCAGACGGAAGCAGACCACCGCGCGTATTTATGTAGATGATGCAAGGGCCACCTTGCTTCAATTTTTTTGCCCGCCCGCGTCACCGCCTTGCAGCAGCACCTGGCTTCTTTTTGGCGAGTGGCTCTGCCAGGTGACTAGCCCAAAGCTGGCGATTGGGAGAGTTGGCGCCCCCTGTCGCTGGGCCGACGTGCACTACTGAGGCCGCATGTGCCACGGGTGCTGAGGCCTTGGCCTCTCTTGGCAGTGATGCTGGTGTCTCACGGCAACTCTGATTCCTCTCAGCCTTTCCGGATGAAACAGAGTGCCTGAGCATACCCACAGTGGTGTTTCGCTGTGTTGCACTTGCGAACTAAAGCACCCGGATGGCATAGTCCATACCTGCCCTGGCCGGTTGTCACAGCCACGCATTTGTGAATGCACCCTGCCCATGCTTGCTGCAACAGCTTTCTCGTGCACGGCATGCCCACAGGAGAAGATGGTACTTCGCCATGGTGTGTGGTACAGGCAAGTAGCGTCGTGTAGTTTCCTCCCGTTGCGCACGACGTCGGCAACCTCACACCCTGCGACTCCTCTCATTTTCACTTGTCGTTCTCGGTGATAGCTTTTTATATTTTTTATTCCGATTGCACGTCAGTTTTCACAACTCGGTTGTAGGTTTGGGTGATTGAGTGTGCGTGCGTGTAGGTGTTCGTTGCGAGTGGAATGAAACTCAGGTTGACGTTCTGGCATGCTGCAGCGTCTCAGAGGCAGTGGACATGTTCAATTTCCAGGGGAGCCGATTCTTCTCGGCACTCAGGTGGTTTGCTTGTGAAAGAACGGTCCGATTGAATGCTGCTGAATGATCTGGTTGGTACCTGATAAATGTATCATCGCCCATCTGCTTCGCACATGTTGTATCATGTCAAATCTGGAGTCGGCAGATGGTGGCGTGAATGCAGTCAGTTCGTTGGATGCCTCAGTGTTTCAAGTTGCGTTGCAGGCCACATGGAGTTTCCCATGGAGATCTTCGAGCCGATGTGAGGGTGAGCAAGGTGCAGCCGCAGGTTGTGCGGTCTCTCGTTCTCCGGCTTCGTTTTGCCATGCACAGGGCCCGGGCCCCGTTTCGCCCGAAGCGGAGGCTCTGAAAGCTCGGTGAGAGCCTCGGTAGCTACAGCCTTTTAGGCTTGTGCTTGCTTTTGCTGCTGCCGCTGTTGTCGTCGTCGTTGTGCTTGTGTGCTCAATTGCTCGCAGAGCTTGTGCTCAGAGGTCGGACCAAGAGATCACAACCCGAAGGCAACTCTCGGCTTCGGTTTGCTACCTAAATGTTTCCCTGACACTGGCTGTGTTGCTGCTTGAGTTCTGTTGTGAAAGCCCTTTCATCGGATCCGGCTTCTCTGCGAGTACGCAGGTGGGCACACTGGAGCCCCTCGCGATCAGAGGCACTTCGGGATGCAACGGGCTTCAAGCTTCAATCAAAACTGTCCGCTGATCAAACTCTGCGTTCGCATCAGGTCTTGACCCGGCTGTATTCTGCACGGAAGTTTGGACCGCATTGGGCGGATTCTGCTGCTGGGCTGGCAAGCAGAAGTGTTTCACTGATTTTCACTGTCACTGTGAAACGCTCCGGTCATCACAGAGTTTCCAGGTGCAGGCAGTCCATCATCGCTCTAGCCATGAAGGCTCTGTTGCGGCACAATAACGTTCGCAGCTCTGCGATTTTCCGGTTTCTATGCTAGGTCTTGCGATGATGTTTTGGGGACTGGCATCTGCCGAGTGGTCGTGTCCTCGCAGTGGTTCCTGTTCATGACAGTGCCTCTGTGGAATTCCGTTTCAGCATCGATTTCTAGCGATGAGAATCGAGCCTGCAAAGGTGCTTTGCCAGCCTGGTTCTTGGCTTCCTTCTGGTGATGGTCGACATCTCGGATGCCGACAGTCGCAAGCAGTGCTTGTATTGCTGAACAAGGAGCCTTACAAACTGAATCTTGTCATGCTTGCCGACATGTGAACGCTTCTGGGCATGACAGCGCCATGTAGAGCATGCTTGTCGCCAGTCCTCTTTCGCAGATGCAGCAGTAGGAATCAAACAGCATGACGGATGGCCACCTTGAGAAGGTCCGAACAGATTGTTGTTAAGCAGTCGCTGGTTGGGCACTTTTGCATGTAGAAGGAGCGCATGTATAATGTCTTAATGTTTAAACTCACGAAGCCACTTTGAGCTGAGCTATCCGATGGCCTGTCCCAGCAATGGAGTTCCCAAGATTGTTTGGATGCTTTGGTTCCAGGGATGGGAGCGGGCACCTCACGTCTGCAAGATGTGCAAGACGCACGGCTCGAAGAGCATACACACTTTCTGTCTGTGGTCGGGGATTGGGCCGAAGACCGTCGGCCATGGAACGGTTTTTGACAGGCTTGGTCGATGGCTGAGCACAGGCCTAGAGAGAGCTAGAGCGAGAGCCTGAGAGACATTACTACCAGCAAGCACGGGGGAGAGAGAGCGAGAGGATGCGAGAGGATGCGAGAGGCAAAATGATGGATGGTGCTCGACTGAGTGAAGTGTCAGGACTGCTGGCGCCTCATGCCCCAAAGCCAAGCAAAGCGAAGAAAGGTAAGGAGAGTGAGGCTGCCTGCTTGTCTTTGGTTGACACAAAAGACCGCACAGTTCTAGCTCAGCAGAGCGCAAGATGCCATACGCTGGGGCATAGGCGCAGCTTTTTTTGTTTCCGTGCAGCATGTGGACTGTTGCAACTGGGCCAAGACAGAAATCTACGACCAAGAATGGGCCCGCGAAGCCAAATGGGGGAACATGATTCCCGAGCAACCATGACAAATTGATCCGATGTGTCCGACTTAGTGGAAAAGCTTGACAAACACAGGGAAACACATGCTTGCTTGTTGATCACTCAGTGGCTTGAGGCTTGCTGAACGCACGTGTTTGCTGGCATGTCTCTGACTGTTCTGCAAAAATGGGTCTAACGCCCCAAAACAGATTGCTGCAACCTTGCGTGTAATGTTGAGGAGACGTAGAGCTGTCTTGCAGAAGACAAGGCTCCGACTTTACTCGTTTAATGCGTCCTGTCCACATTTTCTGCAGGTACAGAAACTGCATCCAGTTTCCTTTCGAATCGATCGCCATGGCGTCGTTGGCATGGCTAGGGCAAAGATCGCCATGGCCCCCGCCAACCCTGTGTACACAAAGACATGAGATGAAAATATATGGAAATCAATGAGAGCTGTAAACACAGACACGGACACGGACACAGAGGCACAGACGCAGTCACAGACACAAGCGCAGACACAGACACCCAAACACTCAAACACTCAAACACACAGACACACAGACACAAAGACACACAGACATGCAGACACACACACACACAGACAGAGACAGAGACAATAACACAGACACACAGGCGCACAGACACACACCCACACAGCCACACACCCACTCAGACACGCACCCATTCAGACACGCACACGCACTCGCACGCTCACGCGCTCGCCCTCGACCTCACGTACCCGCACGAACCCGCACGCGTACGCATGCACACGCACGCACACGTGCGCACACGCACGCACGCACACGCGCACGCACGCGCAGCGCACAGACGCACAGACGCACAGATGCACAGACGCACAGACGCACAGACGCACAGACGCACAGACGCACAGACGCACAGACGCACAGACGCACACACGCACAGACGCACACACGCACACACGCTCGCTCGCTCGCTCGCTCGCTCGCTCGCTCGCTCACTCACTCACTCACTCACTCACTCACTCACACACACACACAGGCGCGCGCACACCCGCACACACGCACACAAGCGCACACACACACACCCACACTTACACTTACACTTACACTTACACTTACACTTACACTTACACTTACACTTACACACACACACACAGAGACAACTTCGAATTTACACACCCCGTGCTTCCAGCATCCGCAACGACCGGCGACTCTGGACAAAGAGTTTTCTGTTTAAATACGGGTTACAAATCTGCGGCATTATATGTAGTTCTGCGATGTTTGAATTTGGCAATGGTCAAACTTGGTGCTTCATTTATTTCTCCCGATTACTAGTAGCATCTTATTCAAACTTGGCAAGGCTCAGGCTCCTACATCTTCTACTGTAGCGAGGCAACCTTGTCCAAAATACTCTATGGATTCATTGGGCTCATCATTTTCCTTCCCATGGGCGTGGGGAATGTTGGCAGTGTCGTTGCGAGCTTGGACCGGAACTGCACACGACGGAGCGAGTTGGAGTGGCTTTGCCAGGGGCTGTAGCAAAACTCACTGGTAGTTGAGCTTTCCCATCGTGAACTTTGCTGTGTTGCTTGTCAAAAAAGAGATCCGAGGGTCTTGCAATCAATGCGTTGCATGTCAGGAAATCGTTCGAACTGTGGAACCCTGGTTGGGAAGTCCGTGCTCTCGATGAGCAGTCTCTTCCCGATGTGCTCGATGACTACTGCAAGCAGTTCACGGAGATTTGCAAGGCAGCTTTCCGCGTCAGCCGGTGTTGACAGAGCAGTTTGGGTCATAGAGTTGCCAATGTTCGGACTGTCTTGATTGATGGTTCAAACGACCGTGCAGAGCTTGAAGGACAGTAAACGGGAGTGACCAGAGCAGACCGCACATAGGACACCCTTGTTGCTTGATCCGTCTTCGGTGATGGTCAGCTCACTTCCAGATTCAAGAGTAAGGGTGCCGGCCCGAAAAGCAGGCTAAATTTGCGAAGACATCGGGTGAAGGTTGAGAGAAGGCTTCAGTACTGTGTCTGTCAGCACCACAAACTGCCAGTAAACTTCACGCGATTTTCAATACAAAGCCTGGAATCCGGAACCAATGCCCGCAAGCCATGTCTGTGCCTAAGTTTCTCAAGCTGAAAGAAGGTCTGTCGGATTTGTTCATGCTTCTTTCTTGATGCTGTGCTATGAGTGCAGGTTTTGTCTCGTCTCATCTATCCCTTTCCTCCGGCGAGGCCAACAATCCCCTGGCCTCTCTTGGCCTCTCCTGGATTCCGCCTGCTGCCGCAGCAGATGTGCTGCGGCTTTTCTTGTTGATCCGCTATGGAGGCCGTTCGCAGTCTTCAACTTGAGCAACCCAAGGTACGTCTCAATGTTGCGTGAATGCCTCTAGGGTTTCATGAGGTCTCGCATGCCTTTCTCAGACTAAGGTACGTCTCAATGTTGCATGAACGGCTCTAGGGTTTCATGAGGTCTCACATGCCTTTCTCAGATTCGTGTACAGGCGTCTGGGCTGATGCGACGGTCCTTTGCCGACGACCGCTTGATGAGTGGATCCATGCTGCTGCGGCTCCTGCAGCTGGCTTCTTTGCATTCGGACCGGAGAAAGGACCGGGGGCTTTGGGGCATTGTGTTGCTGAGGCAATGGATTACAATGACATTTCACAGAAGAGTCAACTGCTTGCTGCGATGCAGGCGAGGAAATTCCGATCATGCCGCTTGACAGCTGGATTCAGACTGATTCAGACAATTGTATGCAGCTCCGAACAACAAAGCCGCCCGAAGCCGAGGAGCATATGTGCAGAAGTTTCATTCATGAGCGAGCATGCAGTGCCTTATGCCATAGCGGTACATACATGCTATGCAGCCATCCCATCTGAGCAATGATGCAAGTCCCAATACTCAGTCACAAGCCGAGAATCGAAACGGGGGAAGGAGTTTGTCCATCAAGTCCGAAGGACTGAGTCGCAGAATCAGTGGGACCAATGCCAGGGACTGCGGTTGGGCTTTCTGATTGGAAGTTGGTTTATGTAACGCTGAATGCTCAGTTCTCTTCCCAATGCGCAACAGAGTCCCTTGTGTCGGGTGATCGAGGTGCAGGGGAAGAACAGGTGACCAAAATCGTTGCATATCGTTGCACCCGCGTCCCCGATACGTTTGCAAGCATTCAGCGGCGTTTGCGAAGTGTTCGCGAGTGTCGTGCCGTCTGTCCAGTGATGCTCAGGGAAAATGTCAGACGAGGCGGGTCCAGGTGTATCGCCGGCGAGGTACGGGAGGAATTCCGCACCAGTCGCATCCAGCCGTCGCAGGCTAAGGGGGAAGGTTCGTAAGGGAAGGTTCGTAAACGCAGTCGGGTTTATAGCTTCTGTCAGGCTTCTGTCTGCATTGCAATTCAGGGTGTGCGATCACCCGTCACCAGTCCTGTGTTCGAATCAACTTGTCGCTGCCATTTTTAAGGGGGTGTGCCTGCACAACCGAAAACCATTCACGGAAGGCAGTCGTACAGCCCATACAGCGGCCTATGAGCTTTCAAGACGAAGAACCACATTGCTGATTGTCTTCAATGAATCAAAATGAACCCATGAATGCCTTGGTTCCAAGGAGCAGCTTCCTGGCCAGCCGGGCACAGCATCCGCTGTTAGAGGCCTGGCAAGAGAAACTACATCGTCACTGGAAGATGCCGGCGAAAGAGCGGCCTAACCTGGAATACTTCTGGTGGCTGGGAATGAGACATCAAATTTGGTTGTAGGGGGCAATGACTTCTGCTTGCTACTCGGGGAGACTAGTGACTCGACAAAGAGCCGCCTCAGGTTTCATGTGCTCTTCGGCAAGCTGGTCCAGGCGAGAGCTCCAGATACAGAGTGGTAACACTGTGGGACTCCTTCCTGCATATGGAGTAAAACACGAAGCGTGCGTGGCTGTTCTGCGGCTCCCGTTGAACCTTGCTTTGGCGCTGTGCGTGTAGTCGTTTTCTCCGCATTACTGTGCCAGCCGCGTCCTCGCGAGAAAAATACAATTCTTTGGCGCTTCCCAACCATCTCGCGGCAGGGTGCCACATTCATTTTGCTCTGTCCCGCACCGTCTTGGGGTATTCATGCGGTGGTCTTGGGCACCTCAGGGGTGCTCCTGGATGGGTGTGTTAGGCTTCGACTCTTAGGTGATGCCCTGATATGCTTGCATGCGTCGGTGCTGCCTCCGCTGACATCCGGAGGAGAATGCCACCGCTAAAGATTTATGGCAACGCGCTCGGAACATGGCTGCTGAATACAAGCAGCCGGGTCCGCACCGCTTCATGCCCTATGAGGAGGCCGAGGGGATTTGTTGTGATTCAGCAGGTGCACTGCCCTTGGTAGCTTTTGTTTGCTGGCTTTGACAGGTTCTGGTGAAGCCACCGGATGAAGAGTTCAAGCGGCAAGTTGAGAACGTCGAGGCGGGAGTATGTCACTGCGTACAGTTACGATATGATCCACGGACATGTTTTGCCTAATTAGAACAGCTGGCTCGAAAATGCTTGAACGATGGATGGCCTGAAACGTCGACCGGGCATCGGACTCATTGGTTTAGGCATGAAGGTTGTGAATACACTCCGGTGCTCAAGACCCAAGCTGTTCCACAGCGAAGGAGGTGTCTAAACTCCGAAGCTCAAGACCCAGGCCCTTCCACAGGGGGAGGGGGATGATCACACGCAGAACCATTGGAAGAAGGCTCCTGCGGCGGCCCACGACAACTTTGTTACATAGGTTTGCCACCAGTGATCTCCTGGATGTATTCGTCGAGGCAACTATTCGGGGGTCCGACTGTCCACGGTTCCAACTTTAAACAACATAGTGGAAATTCCCCGTGAGTCTCATGAGGGATGGCCTAGGACAATGCCGGTGGGTTGCTCGAAGCTTTGTGTGGTGTTCGCCCGAAAACGATGCAGGCGAAACACCGCAAACCTCAGGCAAGATCAGATTTACAAATGTGGTCGTACCCTTCAGATCTAAACCCCCCATTGCACGTTTCGGGATAGAGTCCTTGTGTGTTGCTGCAGCTGATTACCCAAGTCCGCCGTGCTTGGGAGTGGGCGTCTGTTGGCTGGAATGGGATTTCAATGGTGGTGTCGTGACCGTGTCCATTGGAAAAGAGTACCGGCCGTTCGTGAACATTGAGTAAGCAATGGCATGGTTCCGCAACACGTGATTAGTTGTTTCAATCGCACTGTTTGACTCGCCGGGGGCGCATGTGCATGTGGGAGAAGCGCAAGCCTGGTCATACTTTCCGTGACGGAAGCTTGCCAGGAAGAGGAGCCTGTTCTGAAATTGCCCTTGCCTCAATATTGCTGGCACGGTACACTGGCCAATTGGCCCGAACTTATACCGCTGCTGAGGACGATCCACGATGTGAAATACAACAGGGAGGGTCGAGATGTTCTGCACCAGCGAGATGGCTCTGATTTTCGTGTGAAAGCATCTCAATCCAGTCGCTTCGACAAGAATTACAGCTTATGATATGTGCATGTCAGGGATGTCTGGATTGCAGCAGCATAGGCAGCTCAGTTCAAGTACATGATAGCGTACAGAGCTGAAGCTAAAGCCGGAAAGGCATTGAAGTAGTTTCACAGCAGGGGGAGGCAGGAACCTCGAGCTTAATTTCCTGTTCCAGCCTTTGCGGGTGGTGTTGTCCGTCGATATTACAGGTTCCATCTGCACCGTGGGGTGTTTCCATATTGGCGATGCTTGCTCGAATATGGTTTCTGATGATGATGATCTTTTCCCGGTAATTACATCAAAAGGGACATCACTCACCCACCTCTTAGGCACCATCTCCTAGGCACAGCAATGTCGCTAACACCGAATATTCTTCTGAACTCTTCTGCGTGAAGAGGTTTCGAGTATTTGATGCAGCGGACGCTCGAGAAGGCCTGAATGCTTCACTGTGGGTGGTTATTTTGTGCCTTGTCTGGCTCACAATAGCAACATGTGCAAAGTGGGATGTTCTCAGGCACGGCAGCGCCACGCCGACGCGCCCGAATTCATGACTTGGAAGCCAGAAGTTGGGGCATATCGCAAGGAGTATGGCCACACAGATGCATTTAGACAGTGGGCTTGCGCTGTTGTGGCTGAAGCTGTCAGTTCACTTTACCTGCGAGGCCTTAGCATTGCGACACAGCCAATGATGCCTGGGTGACAGAGCGTAGTCGTGCAAAAGAGAGGGCCAGCTCTGCAACATGAGAACGCGAGTGACAAGAGCAGTGCAGTGTGATTTCGACCGAGGATGCGGTGCTGCTCCAGAATATGCCAGAATCGCGGCGCTCGCATGTTGCGCCCACAGAAACTCGAGATGATTCCGTTTCTCCTCTTGTCAGACTCCAAGGCGAGCGTGCTTTTCATATGGCTGGCAGTTGCAGTGGCCTGCTGTGTGGAGGCCTGGCTGATCGCACTAGGGGTAGATGCCAGCATGTGATCATGGAATTTGTTTTTGTTTTCAATTTGATCTTTTTGCTTATGCCTTTGGCGCCTTGAGTTGTTCTTTTGCTTATTTGTGGTGGTGTTGTTGTTGTTACGGTGGTGGTGGTGGTGGTGGTGTGGTGGTGGTGGTGGTCGTCGTCGTCGTCGGCTATTGTTGCTTTCTGCCTTTTAATTTTTGCTTGCTGCTTGCTGCCTTCAGCTGAGCTCACTTTATGGTTTCGATTGCTCTTTTGCTTTCTATTGTTTGCTTTCTGTTGTTTCGTCTCTCGCTTTGCTTTCCGCTGCTCTGTCTTCATCTCTGTTTTCGTTATTTTGATTTTGTGCTTTTGCTTACTTTTTCAAGATTTGGGTTCGTGGGAGGGAGGGTTTAAGACGTGACAATGGCTGACGAGGGGGCGGGCGTAGGATATGTGATCAACCGCCATCGCGTAGGAAAGGGGCGGTCAACCGCCGTCGGAAGGGCGGCGAAAAGGGAGACCCTCACATTCATGGTAGTTCCTTGTAGCTTAGTCTATGTCTATCCCGATTGCACAGCAACCCAGAGCAGCAAGACTGGAGATCACCCAACAAACAGCACCTGCCAAACCACTTTGGGACCCTTCTCATTTCTCGACATGCTGAGCGGCCGGACTTGCCGAATGGTTTTTCACCTGAAGCCATCAAACAGCTTCTGTTGATTGGCGGGCCCCGTGAAAATTAACTCGGTCGGCGTGTGTGGGGGTTGGCGGAGAAGATCGCCTGTAACGGCAGGTGGCAGATCCATTTCCTCTTTCCAAAGCGAGTTAATGTCCGACCGCCGCATTTCCGTCTCGGTCGATATATATATATATATGTATAC